TTTTTTTTATCGCAAATTGGACGATCTTTCTGAAAATTAATCCAGTCCTACCGAATCAAGCGTAAAGGAAAATGGACAAGTTTGTAATAAATAGTTAATTCATGGATAACAAATTTAATTTCAATAGCCTTAATAAAATATGAAATATAGCTCCTTTAAACAAATGGTGGTGCTGGTTGGGCAACAATTTTTTTTACTAAAATCACCATATCTCCCCAAACAGGGTGACACTTGGGTTAGACACAGCAAATTGTCATCCTTATTTGAAAGTGACTTTTTTTGCTTAAAGCGAATCTTGTGGAATGTTACATGGGAATACAAAGCTCAGTTGATAAAATGCACCTAAAATAATTTGTAGACATATAACTCAATAGATTATTATTGTTAATACTGGTTCATGGCCCCATGTAATTCATTCAATTTAGTAATTGAGAAGGTCGTAAGTCAATTTGAAATCCCCCAACATATTAGAGTAAGAGTGCTAATCTCATTCAGAAAATTTGGATGGGTCTCAATTAAATTTAAAAAAAAAAAAATCTTTGCTTGTTCCGGTCCTTGGTTGAACCACATTATCTACATTTTAAGGTAGACATCGTAGTCCTTGGGAAGAATTTCTATCTTCTCGTAGCTCATTTTTCTTAGTTTCTTTGTCTTTTTCTAGCAAGTTGGAAGACTATTGTTATACAACTAATGTCCATACAAACTATAAGATAGAGGTGAATTCAATGAGAAAGACTTTGAATTGAGCAAATTGACTAAAACATATAATTTCATGCTCCACTACAATAATTTACAAAGAATCTTGAGATAAAACAAGACCTACATGGTGAAGTCAACATTTAAAAAAAAAAAAAAAAAAAAAAACTTACAACAAGGCTTTTTTTTTTTTAGCGCAAATTGGACAATCTTTCTGAAAATTAATCCAGTCCTACTGAATCTAGCGTGAAGGAAAATGGACAAGTTTGTAATAAATAGTTAATTCGTGGATAACAAATTTAATTTCAATAGCCTTAATAAAATATGAAATATAGCTCCTTTAAACAAATGGTGGTGCTGGTTGGGCAACAATTTTTTTTCCTAAAATCGCCAAATCAATCTCCCCGAACAGGGTGACGCTCTGATTAGATAGAGCAAATTGTCATCCTTATTTGAAAGTGACTTTTATTGCTTAAAGCGAATCATGTGGAATGTTACATGGGAATACAAAGCTCATATTGATAAAATGCACCTAAAATAATTTGTAGGCAAATAACTCAATAGATGATTATTGTTAATACTTGTTCATGGCCACATGTACTTCATTCAATTTAGTAATAGACAAGGTCATAAGTCAATGTGAAATCCCCCAACATATCAGAGTAAGAGCGTTAATCTCATTCAGAAAATTCGGATGGGTCTCAATTAAATTTAAAAAAATAAATCTTTGCTTGTTCCGGTCCTTGGTTCACCACATTATCTATATTTTAATGTAGACATCGTGGTCCTTGAGGAGAATTTCTATCTTCTCGTAGCTCATTTTTCTAAGTTTCTTTGTCTTTTTCTAGCAAGTTGGAAGACTATTGTTATGCAACTAATGTCCATACAAACTATAAGATCGAGGTGAATTCAATGAGAAAGACGAGCATTTTGACTAAAACGTATAATTTGGTGCTCCACTACAATAATTTACAAAGAATCCTAAGATAAAACAAGACCTACATGGTGAAGTCAACATTAAAAAAAAAAAAAAAAAATCTTAGAACAAGGCATTTTTTTTTTATCGCAAATTGGACGATCTTTCTGAAAATTAATCCAGTCCTATCGAATCAGGCGTAAAAGAAAATGGACAAGTTTGTAATATATAGTTAATTCGTGGATAACAAATTTAATTTCAATAGCCTAAATAAAATATGAAATATAGCTCCTTTGAACAAATGGTGGTACTCGTTGGGCAACAATTTTTTTCCTAAAATCACCATATCTCCCGGAACAGGGGTGACTCTTGGGTTAGACAGAGCAAATTGTCATCCTTATTTGAAAGTGACTTTCATTGCTTAAGGCGAATCATGTGGAATGTTACATGGGAATACAAAGCTCACTTGATAAAATGCACCTAGAATAATTTGTAGGCATATAACTCAATAGATCTGATTATTGTTAATACTGGCTCATGGCTACATGTAGTTCATTCAGTTTAGTAATAGACAAGGTCGTTAGTCAATGTGAAATCCCTCAACATATCAGAGTAAGAGTGTTAAGCTCTCATTCAGAAAATTCGGATAGGTCTCAATTAAATTTAAAAAAAAAAAAAATCTTTGCTTGTTCTGGTCCTAGGTTGAACCACATTATCTACATTTTAAGGTGGACATCATGGTCCTTGGGAAGAATTTCTATCTTCTCTTAGCTCATTTTTCTTAGTTTCTTTGTCTTTTTCTAGCAAGTTGGAAGACTATTGTTATACAACTAATATTCATACAAACTATAAGATAGCGGTGAATTCAATGAGAAAGACTTTGAATTGAGCAAATTGACTGAAACGTATAATTTGGTGCTCCACTACATTAATGTAAAAGGAATCTTGAGATAAAAGAAGACCTACATGGTGAAGTCAACATTTAAAAAAAAAAAAAAAAAAAAAAAATCTTAGACCAAGTCATAATGTTTTTTTGATGTATTATCGCAGATTGGACGATCTTTCTGAAAAGTAATCCATTCCTACTGAATCACGCGTAAAAGAAAATGGACAAGTTTGTGATAAATAGTTAATTCGTGGATAACAAATTAATTTCAATATCCTAAATAATATATGAAATATAGTCATGGAAAACGCATATTCTGTGCTAAAATAACAATTTTGTTGAAATTTGTTCTTCAAAAAATGAATTATGTGGAAGTCAAGACTTTCCAAGTAAATATCTGCACGAAGCTTAGTTTTACAATTGATGCTGGAAATAGTGTTGCTTAAATAGTGAAAATATATACCCACAGTTCAGTTAATGTAACATTTATTTCTGAAAATGATTGACAACAAAACAGATTCATCAACAACTCCATTTCTTAGTTATTGCATTTTTACCTGTAAAATCGAGAGCCCGATATTTTAAACATATGTTAAGAAAAAGGTAAAGAGTCAAGGATCATCTCAGGGCCAAACAAGTGGTGAAACAAATCAAATAAATAAAATTTATTTTCAAAAAAGTGTTGCAGTAAAATTGAGGTAAGGATCAATGCAAAGCCCCACAACATATAAAAAATGTAGTAGTAAAATTGAGGTAAGGGTCAAGCAAACCCCACGGGCCACAACATATCAGAGCAAGGATGTTAAGTTTATTCAAAAATTTGAATGGGTTTAAATTTTTATTTTAAAAAAAATAATAAAATAAAAATCTTTGTTTAGATTTTAATTGTTTTCTAATAGAATGCCTGATGCGGTAGATAGCAATCTAACGTCCAGCAATTACGCACTATACATTCTGTTAGAATACTTAATGCAATTTAATTGATTGGTCAAATTTAATGACTTTTTCAAAACAAAATAAAGTATGATGACCAACGTGAAATTTCTTATAAGCTGAGTGATGAACAATGTTTTATAACTAGTTATGTTAGTGTCTAGAAGAAATTTGGTTTTTCACTTGAACCATTTTTTGTTCGAATTTGCTTGGTAACTCAAAAACTTCAATTACAAAATATAAACCTCTACTCTTACAATATGTACCATATATTTTCTGAAATAGCTTAAAACTCGTAATATATCATCATGATATCTCTTTTGTTGGTATAATCAAGTTGAATATTTCAAATAATTATATTTTTTATATTTCATGTTAAAAGTTTTTTCATGAAGTCGTGTGCTGTATTTATTTTAAAAGTTATATCGTGTTGGATTGTGTCATGTAGATGACATAACCTAGACAATTTCACTTGGGACTTCTTTGTAGTGGTTAATATCATAATAACAATAATTAATCTCTTAATTGACAATAATTAAAGGTAAGATTCAACTTAAAAAATCATAAATCAATCTTTAACGCATCCAGGATTACAGTGACATTGTGTTGTAATTGAGGCCCCATGAATAGATGTTTATAAAGACCAATTTTATAGCCCGTTATGCACGCTAGAAGAAATTATGGTGGAATCTACTTCATTGTGGGACATACATCCTCTACTTGTGCTTCATATATAATATGATTGCATGCACTTGAAAAACTTCAATCTTTTTCAATTACTACAAATATGATATCAGAAAAAATTATTGAGATGAACAGATTCATCAAAATATTGAGTGTGCTGATGTTTCTACTTTCACTATGCATGAAACTTACTTCAGTATCTGCTGCTGAAGTTAGGTGCATAGACAGGGAAAGACGAGCTCTTCTCGAGTTTAAGCATGGCCTTGTTGACGACCATGGCATACTCTCATCCTGGGGAAGTGAAGAAGTTAAAAAGGAATGTTGCAAATGGATGGGCATCTCATGTAGCAATAGAACTGGTCACGTAGTTTTACTCGATCTGCATGTAAATCTGTTGGTCGACCTTTTTTATCTGAAGGCTGCTAAGCTTAGCCCCGCACTGCTTGAGTTGCAGCATTTGAATTATTTGGACCTGAGTTGGAATGATTTTGGAAGAAGTGAAATACCAAGATTCTTGGGTTCCTTCAAGAAATTAAGGTACTTGAATCTTGCACGCTCAAACTTCATTGGTGAAGTTCCTTGTGAACTTGGGAACCTTACAAATCTGCATACTCTTGACCTTGGTCTTAACAATTTGAGAATCGAGAACTTTGAGTGGCTTTCTCATCTTTCTTTGCTGTCATATCTTGACTTGACTCTTAATGATTTTGGAGGAAGTGAAATGCCAAGATTCTTTGGTTCCTTCAAGAAATTAAGGCACTTGAAACTTGAAGGCTCAAACTTCACTGGTGAAGTTCCTTGCGAACTTGGGAACCTTACAAACCTACGTACTCTTCACCTTTGTTGTAATGATTTGAGAGTCAAGAACCTTGAGTGGCTTTCTCATTTTTCTTTGCTGTCATATCTTGACTTGAGTGGCATGAACCTTATGAATCAAACCAACTGGTTGCTCCACATAACAAGGCTCCCTTTCCTTGAGGAACTGTATTTGTCATTCTGTCAACTTTCCACCACAGTGCCTTATTTAGATATCTTTACTAATTCTTCTTTACCCTATCTGTCTATCCTCGATTTATCCGGCAATGATCTCACTTCCTCTTTTGCATTCCATTGGTTGTTTAACCTCAGTGCAAGTCTTACTAGCATAGACCTCTCCTATAATCGATTAGAGGGTCCTATTCCTGATGCCTTTGGAGAATTGATTTTTCTTGAGAAACTTGTTTTGAGAAACAATACGTTCCGCAGGGGGTTTCCAAAATCTTTGGGGAATTTAAGTCATTTGTATGAACTAGACATATCATGCAATGAATTAAACGGTCCTTTGCGAGATGTTACCAAATTTTCATCCTTAAAAACGTTGATCCTCAACAACAATAAGCTGAATGGGTTTCACCCACAAAGCCCTGAGCTACCTTCAAGTCTAGAAATTTTAGATTTATCTTACAACCAATTTAGAAGGTTACCCGAAGGTATTGTGAAACTTTCCAAGCTCCAAAGTTTACAAATGTCTTCAAATTTGTTGGAAGGTACAATCACTGAATGGAACCTTCCAAACTTTGCCAACTTACATTTGCTAGATTTATCCTTCAATTCCTTGGCTTTCAACTTGAGCTCAGATTGGATTCCTCATTTTCAATTGGAAGAAATGCTACTCAGCCATTGCTATTTGGGGCCTCATTTTCCAAATTGGATTCAAACTCAGAGTAATCTTAGAATCCTTGATCTCTCTTTTGCTGGTATATCAGATGCATTACCTAATTGGTTATGGAATATGTCTTCTTTAAAATACTTAGATCTTTCTAATAACAATATTAGAGGTAAAATTTCTAATTTGTCCTCAGAGTTGATTATTCGTGAAGTTGTAGATTTAAGTTATAACAATTTTTCAGGTCCAATTCCATTATTTCTTTTTCATTCTCAAGAATTAAGATTTTCCAAAAATATGTTTTCGGGATCCATTTTTCACTTATGCACGGTACCTGAGGCCTCATTCATGCTCATGCTCGATCTTTCTGATAACCAATTGGAAGGAGAGCTTCCAAATTGCTGGTTCAACATGAGTGAATTAATGGTTCTGGATTTGGCAAATAATAAGTTTTTAGGTAAAATTCCCCCCACTTTGGGCAGTTTGGATCATCTTGAAATATTACACTTGCGCAACAATAATTTCATTGGTGAATTGCCTTCAACTTTGAGAAATTGCACGGGATTGAGGACGCTTGATGTGGGAGGAAACAAGTTAACCGGTAATATTCCAGCATGGATAGGAACACATTTAACAAGTTTGACAGTTCTTAGCCTTCGACATAATGAATTTGATGGAATCATGCCTTCAACAATTTGCGGCCTCACCAGTATCCTTGTCTTGGACCTCTCTAGAAACAATATTTCAGGAAGAATATCATGGTGTTTAAACAATATTACTGCTTTGGTTCAAAAGAACAGTTCAATAGAAATCACTAATACTTTGACATATTTCTTAATTCGTGATTCTGGATTGTACGTTAACAGAGCTCTTGTTCAATGGAAAGGACGAGATTCAGAATACAAAACAATAGGACTTCTGAAGGGCATTGATCTTTCTGGAAATAAGCTTTTTGGACCTATTCCTCAAGAGTTTTCTGCTTTAAGGGGTTTAGTTTTCTTGAACTTATCTAGAAATCATTTGACGGGAAATATCATTTCAAACATTGGTCAAATGGAGACGTTAGAATGTCTTGACTTGTCTCGAAACCAGCTTTCAGGGAAGATACCGAACAGCCTTGCACATCTAAATTTTCTCGATGTTTTGGATTTATCATACAATAATTTGACAGGAAAGATTCCTTTGGGCACTCAACTACAAAGCTTCAACTCCTCTATGTATGCTGGTAATAGCCAACTCTGTGGAAAGCCTCTGACAGAGTGTCCTGAAGATATTTCTAATAGTTCTGTGATTGATCTCGGAAAGGAAAATATTTTTGAAGAAGATGATGTGTTTATAACTCGCGATTTTTATATTTGCATGGTATTTGGTTTCATTACTGGATTCTGGGTAGTTGTTATAACTCTATTCTTCAAGCATTCTTGGAGACATTCCTACTTCAACTTTTGGAATAACGTTGGAAACTGGATGCACGTGACAACAACAATCTATGTGACAAGATTGAAGAGAAAATTTCAGACGTAAAGGTAAGCGTTTAAATTTACTTGATCAATTTGGTTGTTATATATCCAAATATTGACTTGGTTTGTTATTGAAATCAGGAGCCCCTTCTGGGAAACAAGAAAGTGCTGACTACCATTCAAACAATATGTTGGCTGGAGAGGTGCAGGGACTATGCAGTGTTTTTATTTCTATTCTAGTTATCACCATTGTCTTATTTTCTAAGTATTTTTAAAAATAATATCAATTTGTGAGATCTCAATTCATACAAATAACTAGCTTTGTTGTGCTTAACCATTGATGTAAAAATAAATTTTAATGGAGATCGAGTATATCACTTGATTAATTAGTTGGTTTAGCTATTTTTATTCACGTATATGACTTATTTAATTTGTATGTACTAAAAAACTCAAGCCACTTTCTAGATTCGTTAGTGCAAAATGCAATTAAGTAAAAAATAAATCTTAAACTCCACTATATGTTGGAAATATTCAATTGTACGCTAATAAAATTGTGAGGGTCCACTAATGCTTTAGAAAAAATGCGAAGAACAACATTTGGAAATCTAAATTTATTTCACTTAGCATTGACTGCGGAGGTGCTAATGAGAACATATAGATAATGCTGCTTAAAATTGTATATTCCTTACAGAGCAAACACAAAACTATAGTTGTTTTCTCACAATGGAGGATTATGTTCACTTAAAATCGGCCTCAATAATACGAATAGTAGACAACTTAATACATAATATGGAATACTCAATATACCCAATATTAAGTCGATCCTTAATCGAGGGGTAAGTTATAATAGAGGGAACCCTCAAAAGCCATTTACAGAAGAGTACAAAAAGAATGTTGAATTTGGGGCTGAATACTCCAGGATTTGATCTTTTGAGGTTACTAGTTCTGTATATGGCTCTTTGCACACTTCATACGTGCATCAAAATCACACAAACTACAATGATATAGCCAGAGACTCAAATGCATGAATTTGATTAACACAAACCACATCAAATTTTGTGCAATTTTGTGATTGCAGTAGCTGCAGAAGTTACATATTTATTGATTCAGTCTTGATTTTCGAGTACTATTTAATTCAATACATCAAATTTTATGGTCAACAAGAAAACAATTTGTAGTTAATAATAGATAATAATCTCCCCAACGGAAGAAAATATGCCGAAGGAAATCAAATAATACTATGCAAGATCAAAGATTAATATTTGCCAATGATAGATTAAACTTTTCGATAAAAACCGTCGCTAAAACTAATTCTTTATTTCGTTGTTGTAATAAAACCGTGTAGTAACTAGCAGCAAGTTGCAGCCACAGCTTCTTCAATTTAAGACCTGAGAAGTCATTACTCATAAAAACCAACCAATACGAATTCTTTCACATGGTAACACCATTGCTATGGTTTGACTTTGTCCTTTCTTACCATTTGGCACAATCACAGACACCTCCTAGTCAATTAGAGCCAATCAAATGTGGGATGGACTTGGTGCATCGTACACCCTCAAGCATCAACATCAATTCATCATCTGTTAAGTTGCATCAATGTGTAGATCAAATTTCTTGGAAAAACCAAACTCAAAAAAATTGGGTTCAAACTTCTTGGACAATCCCCTGGTACAACCAGGGGGTTGTCCAAGAAGAATGGCTCAAAAAATTGTGTATATAATCAAAGTACAACTTGACATGGATCTATGCCCATCTACGAAGTCAATGTATTTTAACCTCCCTTTTGGAGTGGCTATTTTGGACAAATTTATGAGATTTGGATAGATTTTCTTGACAATTCTTTCAATATAATATTAATGACCTACTACATGAACGTTTGAGTAGGGAAAGTTCGGTAAATAATTATTTCCTCTAAATTGTCAATTCTATACTCCACACGTTTCACATGTCACACTAAAAGTGGAATTGCGAAATGGATATTTTCAAAAAAGCCACCAATGTTGACTTCTCCTTCAGTCTGTCTCTTGTTAGAAATGGTCATTTATTTTGAGTAACGCTCCCTGCATAGGGTGAGGTGACATGCTTTTTTGACAGGTGCTGCGTAACGCTCCTTGCATAGGGTGAGGTTACAGGCTTTTTTGACAGGTGCTGCGTTGACAATACCTGTGTGACTCCTGTTTTTTAAATTGTCTAATGAAAAATTGACACGTGTCTCCCGTTTTTACCCCCAGTCACTCACCTTGTTTGTATAGTAAAACTCATGTATTTTACATTAAAGAAATAAAATGAGACCCACTTGACTGTTGCAAATAATCGATTTTTCCAAGAAATAACTCAGCCACATGAAGTCAATGCCCCATTTGTTTTGCATGGATTCAAGAAGAATGTACAATAAACAATTCATTCTGTGTTTGTCACTCCATAAGTCTATAGGTCATTACATCATGCGGGTTTTCTTTATCACCACCAAACATTAATGTGTATCTTAATCTTGACTTCATTGAAGTATATTGTCTAAAAGTTTAGGTTGCCAAATGGAATTAGGAAAAAATTTATTTACTCAAAGTGTCTTTACCATGAAGTCTTTGATACGAGACAATTTTCATAAATTGGTGATTCCGAGACAGGAATATGTCTTCGTCTTCTCTCAATACTTTATCTAAGAGGTTAGGTTAAGTTGTTAAAAATGAAACATTTGAAATTGTCGATAGACAATCTTCAACAGTCTTAGTATTCAAACTTCCCACTTGGTTGTGAAAGACAAGGAACATTATTATTTTAAGCCCAAAACATTGACATCTTGAATCAGTCCGACGCTGCCTTTATCAGTTGATTGTATACACGTATGATATATGCTCAAAGCCATAGGTGAAAGATGAAATCAAAAGTAGAAGAGGAAGGAGAAAAGGGAAAAACAAAAATGTAGTACAAGCATTTAAAGGGTAGACATCATGGTCCTTGAGAAGATTAATCTAAATGATTTTTCTGTTCTTATCGTTCCTTATTTTTCTTAGTTGCTTTATTTACTTCAATTTAGTTTCCAACGTTCCCCACGTTTAAGCCAAATTCATTTTTTATAGCATGACACATGGACAATTTTTGTTCTTGTATGGAAAAACGTAAATTATAATTTAACTAATTAAGCATACTTTTATTTACATATTTCGTAAGATCCAAAATCATTACTCATTTTTAATTCACAACATTTCAAAAAACTCACAGCTTATAATCACTTCTAAGCACTCATCGATGTATAACGACGAACTTCAGTTCAGAATCATTGTCTACCATCATACTATGTTGAAGCACTTAACTCAAAACTTTTTTTTTTTTTTTTGCTTCAATTTGAGAAGGGATTGTAACTTCTTACCATCCACTTAAAACAATGGTGAATTCAACAAGAAAGGCTTTGATGTGAACCACTTTTAAATGTACACAGAACTACATAGTGAACTCTATTTATTTATTTTAAATCTTTAGAACAAGTCATAATGTTTTTTTTTTTTTTAGATGCATTATCTCAGATTGGGTGGTCTTTCTAAAAATTAGTGCATTTCCTACTAAACCATGCGTAAAATAAAATGGGCAAGTGAATTGTGAATTGTAATTAATTCACAAATAACAACATTGATTTCAATGACCTCAATAATTAGATATGAAATATAGTCGTCGTTGAACTGTATATTCCTTGCTAAAAAAAATTCACCTAAAGAAACATTCATGTTAAATTGCTTTTGTTCAACAGAAAGGATAAGATTTATAACACTCGGACTTCTGAAAGGCATTGAACTTTCTGAAAATTAGTTAATTGAAACTATTCTCAAGAGTTTCTCGAACTTATTTAGAAATCATTTGACCCAAAAATACCATTTCAAACAGTGGTCAAATGGAGACGTTGGAATTCCCTTACTTGTCTTGAAAATAGCTTTCAAGGAGATAACGAATATTCTTGCATATCTAAATTTTCTCAGCATTTTGAACTTATCTTACAATAATTTAGCGAGAAAGATTTCTTCAGGCACTCAATTACAAAGCATGAAATCCTCTATATATGCTCGGAATAGCAAACTTTTTAGGAAGTCTCTTGGAGTGTTCTGGAGATATTTCTAATAATTTTGTAACTGATCACAAAAGGGGAATATTTTTTAAGAATAATAAATTTACAAGTCGTAATTTTTATATCTACATCATATTTTATTTCATTACTGAGTTATGGGTACTTGTTACCATTATTCAAAACCAACACTAAGAAAGTGGAAATATAAATATAACAACACTTCAATGAAAATTAAATTCACCATAATTCTCCATATTTTCCTTCGAGAAATATTTTATTATAGAATCAAGAGTTTCTCGAACTTATTTAGAAATCATTTGACCCAAAAATACCATTTCAAACAGTGGTCAAATGGAGACGTTGGAATTCCCTTACTTGTCTTGAAAATAGCTTTCAAGGAGATAACGAATATTCTTGCATATCTAAATTTTCTCAGCATTTTGAACTTATCTTACAATAATTTAGCGAGAAAGATTTCTTCAGGCACTCAATTACAAAGCATGAAATCCTCTATATATGCTCGGAATAGCAAACTTTTTAGGAAGTCTCTTGGAGTGTTCTGGAGATATTTCTAATAATTTTGTAACTGATCACAAAAGGGGAATATTTTTTAAGAATAATAAATTTACAAGTCGTAATTTTTATATCTACATCATATTTTATTTCATTACTGAGTTATGGGTACTTGTTACCATTATTCAAAACCAACACTAAGAAAGTGGAAATATAAATATAACAACACTTCAATGAAAATTAAATTCACCATAATTCTCCATATTTTCCTTCGAGAAATATTTTATTATAGAAAACCAACAAAATAATGCAAGCACGAGAGAGATCAAGCATGTAATAAAGAGCAAAAAACAACAAAAACTAATCTGAATATAAAAAAAAATTAATAAATTCACTTTAAACACTTTATTCCCCAACAACGACGTCAAAAACTTGTTTAATGAAATCTTGCAAACGTATGGAATCGATGACAACTAAAATGTAGTAAGTAAAGAGTATAGTCCTTGAGGAATAAGTTTAAAATTAAATATTATTAATTCATTATCAAATTCGAATGTATGTAACACAAAAGAGATTGAATGATTATCAATCCGAATATAACTTTCCCATCAGTTGCCAACCCCCAGCCATCTTGTATTTGGTGAGTGAAATTCTTAAACTGTAGACGATGCAGAAAAATATCAGACACAAAGGCCAGCAACCACTTACTCCAGAATTTATGCATCTTCATAAATCAGAGAAACATTCAACAAATGTATTCAAAGACTATTCGATATTGCTATTGGATAACCTAGGAACCCAGAAGTAAAGGCTTCTCCAAGAAATACCACAGCGTTTAGACTAGTTTTTTTCAAAATTATCATTAATAAATCCAATAATTAGAACCCATAATCCCTGCTAGAATCAGATTGATTGAATGCACGAACTAGAATTATAAGATTAAATTTAACTACGGAAATAATTCCTCCTCTTTAATCACTATCACACCACGGCATATATAAAATGTATAAGGCAGAAAGGCAAAGCTTATAGAACTTAAGGCAAACAACTACAATAAGAAGAGGTCTGGTCTCTACAATTATATTCCAATGCTTTTAGAATTAATTCTTAACTTGATAAACAAGTAAGATTAAATATGGAAAATAATTGAAAACTGATTTTTACGCTATAATGACTTAGCTAATGTTCCACGATTTATACAAGACATTTTACAAGTCTTGCAGCTGCAGTTCAGAAACTTTCTGAAAAGAGAATTAAAGCAATAGAAATTTAACATCCAAAAATCTCCAATGCGAAATTGGAGTACAATCAGGACATGTAAAACAAAATTAACAGTACTAAACTGGATTTTAGACTTTTAATTTCATACTCATAAAATTCATCAAATTAAAATGGCACAAATATATATAGGAGAATATTGAAACAAGGAAAAGGGCAAAGCACAAACTTTGGTAAGTTATTTGGGTCATATATGAAACCAGTTTTCTCCAACCAAGTAACTTGAAACAACCTACAAAAGTACATGAAATTACAACATTAGAAATACGACTACTTAATTTTCATATAAAAGAATAACCCAATTTAGATTTTACAATTGATACAAGTAAACTGACTCTTTAAGAGGTATACACAACCGCAGAACCCTAGAAAAACACAGTTATAACTTAAGTATGTTCTAGCTTTCATAATAAATGACAAAGAAGCCGCAGACAAGCAGATCTAGAAAGCTCACAATAATCTTCTTGCTTTCCCTGTTATCTGCAAAATACCCCAATTTATTTTTTAATTTAAATTGATAAAAAAAAGAGTACACATAGTTGAATTGAGCCCAACATCTTCTCCATTAATTTTTGGGTAATTGGCACAAAACGTCCCTACCTTTCATGTCTATTGTGGAAAACGTTCATGCCTTTCATTTTTTGACATTTTTGCCTTTATTATCACATTTCTTAGCGCTGAACGTCCTTTTCACCAATTTTGAACAGTTTTACCCTTCATTCAAATAAAACAAAAAGAAAAGAAAGAAAACAGCAAATAACTAATTGCAATCACAGCCCCCTATTTTTAAAAAATTACATATCAGTCACAAATACATACAAAATTTTCAACGTAGGTGCCAACAACCATGGAACCCAATTTTCAGCACCAAGGCCACCGAATTTTAACACCACCACCATCTCCTCATCAACCCTAACATCCCCACGCAAATTCCAGCCCCAAATCCCAGCAAAATCGAGCCAAATTTTGCCTAAAAATCGCCTATTATTGCGAATTCGACCAAATCCATGGATGCCCATGTTCCAAACAACCCACAGGCTGCTCGAGCTCACCAAGACACATCCATACATGTTCCAATTACAGCAAACAACCTAGAAAATCGAGATCTACAACCAATTTTCGAATCAGAGAACTCGCAGCCGACAAAGCCATTTTTCGACGACGGTGGTGGGACCCATGATCGCCGACTACCACCACAGGACATTACTCATCATGGCGCATCTACTGAGCATATGGGTCTTCCCCAATTTGGCGTTGAAATGGTTGTTCGTCCAGAAACAATAAACACGTATAGAAATCAGTCCGATCCCCTTTCAATTGGCATTCCTCCACGACTCCAATCTACAAATTGCATCAATCACCATGCAATTGAAGGTCAAACGACGTTGGCTATGGATTTCATTGTTTCAATTCATCCGCCAAATGCAACAATTTTGGATTTGACCTCACGAAATGTGTAGTCACACGAAGAGGATAATACTCCATCAATTCGTAAGTCTAATGTGTCCCAACATATGAATCAACTAGGGAAAATTCAAATTCAAACCCAAAAAACTCTGGGTAATCGTTCAATTTTAGAAATTACAGCACTCGTTTACCAAATTTTGGAGTCAAATGGTGTTCTTCACACACTTGAAGAAGAAGGAAGAGAAACTGGATGTCATTTGTAATTTTTTTAAAAATTGGGGGTTGTGTTTCAATTTGTTTTTTTTTTTTTCCTTTCCTTTTTTTTTTTTTTTTTTTTTATTTGAATGAAGGGTAAAATTGTCCAAAATTGGTGAAAATAACGTTTAGCGCCAAGAAAGGTGAAAATAGGGGCAAAAATACCAAAATATGAAAGGTATGGACATTTACGAAAGCCAATTACCCTTAATTTTTTCTTTCACACTTATCCCTAATTTCCTAAACCTAAATTCCCAAATCACAAATCAAAACTCATGAATGATAAATTATAACTCATTAACTCATTCAACATAAACTATTTATCATAAATCATAAACTCACAATTCTCTTTTCTTTGTCAATTAACTCATAAAACATAAATCATAATCCATAAATAATAAATAAAAAAGTGAATTATGTGATTATGTGAAGATTTTTGTGTGAATAAAGTGACAGCAGTGGCAGAACACAGAACAAAAACTGAAGGAAGAAAAAACCAAAAACAAAAACATAGAAGAGTCGACAGTGAAGGAAAAAACTCACAAATCACAAGCCACCGGACCAGGACCACCGCAACAGTCACTGTCGGACTCGACGGCGACTAGTCGTCACCGTCACAGGCGACAGCAACTTCGCAGATTACAAATCGAGCCAACTAGGAGGTGGAGAAATCGCATACACTGCAGCTGCTGCCCTACTTCAATTATGTTCTGTTTGGTGGACTTTCATTGCATATAATCCATCCCTCTTTTAGGAGTAAGCAATTTTATCTTGACCTCAATTAAACCATAATTTATAAAAAATTAACGTGTAGATATACCTACTCATAGATAAAAATTAGGAATAATAGAGTCGATCCATTTTGCAATAATCTTTTAAGTACACGCGTAGAATCAACTGTTCCATTTCTACAAGTTTCAATAAAAATCAATTTGATCTTATTCTGAAAAAACAATGCTCAGAAATAATTACAGCATCTAAGTTCTTACAACTAGATATATGTTTGTCACCCCAAGGCACATCTCTAAGTGGTAAAAAGAAGAGGGGTGGAGAAATTCAGCTTTACTTAAATTTGTCGCGTCAAGGATTCAAATCCTGAAATATGGATTTGACTTTTGGGTAAATACAAGTGTACAAGCAGTCTTACACCCTGTACCCTTAAAAGCATAACCTGCGATTTACCTCGTTCACGATGCTCCAAGATAGGGGCGGTGAGAAACTTTAAGATTGAGGTCCAACCTTTAGATATATATTTGTAACAAGTTGGTCAGGCTACACCATTCCCAATATAATAGAATGTAATTAGGTACATAAGAGCATATAACGCTGCATTTAGAAAAATGTAAAAGCTACTTTTAAGGATTTTATTTTGTGGAGATGTATTTTTTCGTTAAGAATCATTTATTTTTTAACCAACTATTACAATACTATCAAAATGAATAGCTAATTTAATGTAAATTTAATCAATAAAACATTACGTAATCAAACTTATTCGCTTATAATTAAATCTTTTAAGCTTATCTAAACATGATAGTACTCAAACACAAAATAATTAAATGTTGATTTGAATTATTTAGTAGCTTTTGAGCGTTAGATAATACTAAGTTGGAGTATTTAATGAGATTCTATTTTGATGCTCATTTTTTTTTTTTTTTGGTCTTATACTTAAATTTGTGTTAGTGAATGGCTCGGTGGAAAGTTTTATTTGAATTACATCTCAACCCGATAGGAAAAAAAATAAAATTAAGGCCTAAAAATTTAATCTAATTTTCTCCTCATTTAATAAATTTCACCATCATTTTTTTTTTTTGAAAAAAATAATAATTTTATACCAAATATTTGTTATGCCATTTTGAAAGTAGTTTTTAAATCATTTAATAATATCATATAATTGTACAAAAAGTAGGAGTTTGACTTTAAGACTCTTCATCTTATCTTAATAGATACCCTTCTATTATTTTTTTATTTTTTTTTACAATTATTTAATTTATCCTAGTTGATATAAACAATATAGATTAGAACTTACTGTATATTTATTTAAAATAGAGAGCGGAAGACAATCAAGAAGTAATATCAGTAAACATAGTTGGCCATTTTGAAGAGCTAAATACCTTTATAAATTGAGTATAACATTTTTCTTCTTTACACAGTTGTCTCTTATCATCTTAGAGTTGGTATCAATCTTTCTACGCCTACAATGTATAACTATATCAGTGATTACTCCGTAAGTAATGACATGAATGAACATGTGCATAAAAAGAACAATAATTTTATCCCAATATGATCTTATTCTTGAAGTTCATGCATTTCCTTACTATCTCAACCTATTCATTTTTTACCACTTTGAGCTCTAATCCCACTATAATTTATTATTGAAGTCTTCGCAACATTGTTTAAAAGTCGTAACTAATCTTTTTACAACGTTTTTCGAATGTTATCTTCTCTTATCCTTTGGTTTTGCCAATGTTTTGTAAACATTGTCATTAGTCATTTTTATATTTTTTTAAATTGATTCGTATTTTTTATATGTGCTTACTATGCTATTGAAAATCTTGTTTTTTGATCTAACAATTCAAATAATAAACTAATAATTCGCATAATAAACTTGTAAAATGTTCAACACATTCTCTGTTCCAAAATAAAATTAGAAGACTACAAAATATGTATAACCAAAATATAATTAGTAGACCACAAAACATGTACTACCAAAATATAATTAGGAAACTACAAATTATGAAACTTAAACTCAAAACTGTCGAATGCTCCTTGGTCAATACCATTGCCACTAGAACAATTTCTATCCAACGACAATACTGTACTTCCATTAGAACCTTTCATCAATTGAGAATTGAAAAAGGAACCTTGGGGAAGGATCGGCTTGTGAAATCAACTAGCCCCATAGGGATGTTATTAGTCAACAGCCACTAAATAAACATTCAAATAACAAAACTTTCCATTTCCATTTATAAGGATAAGGTTATGTAGAGATGTTGCCTTGAAATTTTGTACCATGAAACTTTTTATGACATAATTGTGACAAATGCAAGACAATCACAAACGCTTATATGCAGTTCATTAGTTTAGTGCAACACCTTTTTTTTTTTCTCCTGGGACACACGAAAAGGAGAATGCCAAACACCAACATTAAAGGAATATTCATTATGTGAAGAAACAACGGTGAAACTTGGTATTCTTCAAAACTATAAAATACAAAAGGTATAGAGGCGCTCAAGATATTTCCACGATGAAACCAATATAATACATCCCCATGGAAGCATCAAAACTTCATAGTTTCCATGTCCCCCACAGATGCCATATATTATTCATAGAATATTTAAATATCAGATGATAAAGATAATACACTAAACTACAATGCACTGAAAAGGAGCCAAACATCAAATCGATAATGGAGGTTTCCCATACATTAACAAATTACCCACTACAAGAATTCTAGTCTCAGCATAAAATCATGTTTTGACAATTCAATAGCAAAAATAAAACACACACACACACACACACTAAAGGAAACCTACAAGTTAAGCTAAAGGAAACCTACGAGTTAAGCTAAGTAACCTCTAATCCTCATTACCAAAATCTTACCAGCTAACCAACCATTGACTCCAAAATTCTTGTTAGAAACCATATGGCAAAATCTAAGAACTTCTATCGTCATCATCATCATTCATTGGTCATTTCTATGCTTATTTGCAATAAAGTCGACTTCATCACATCTGAATAAGCAAAAACCTTCTGACATGAAACCACTTTATACGTACCAAGCAACTAACACCAAATTCTGTTTGGGATGGAAAGAGAATTGAAATAGATTCACGTGTATATGTAATAAATCCAGAAATCATATCCTAATCAAAGAAGTTTAATACTGCTCTTTGGCCAAACAACAGTACTTTCCATGGCTTCATTAAGAGTTCGAAATTCATCTTCAAGTCTGTATAAATTCAAATTACCAATATACACTTCCTCAATACAAACCTTCCAACAGTCTAGATCAAGAGGCAGGTGATGAACCTTTGCACTTGGGATCTGTTGTTGCAATCTTCTCTTCTGATACGACTTCTTCCTCCTCAATCATTTAGCTAGGCATGTATCTTTTCACAGCCAAGACCAAATGTATTGATAAGTTTTTTCATCTCATAAAATAAGTTTGGAAATGTACTATTCTCTGGCATTATGTCTCGAACAAGATTTATAAGTTCATCGAAACCATTGTCTGATAAACCATTTGAAGCCTTATGCTTATACATAGCAACCAAAGCTGATATCTTTGCAAATGCCCTACCACCAGGATGTAAAGGAGTTTCAGCATCATCAACTAAACTTCCAATCTCTTTGTCTCTTCCATCGAGACGATTTTCAGGATCTACATCATGTTGTGCATAGAAATCCTTAAACATCCTACTCGACTTAGGCATTTCTACATCGACCAAATTTGATTCGCTTGATTTCTCTCCATGAAATACCCAAACTGTATATATCTAATCCATACCTTTAATAACTGAATGTTCATAGATTGTATCATAATGGTGATGCATTAGCTTCCTACACTTAACACAAAGGCATGCTATCATTTCTGAATTGTAATTTTCACGAGCTTATTCAACAAAATTCTGTGCTCCATCGCTATATTGTTTTGAAAATCTACAAGTAAATCTTTATGATCATTATACATTAAATTGTTTTCAATTGGTAACTAGATTCATAAAATCTAATTTCAGATGATAACCTTGATAAGTGCAACCACTCTTTATCCATTATAGGCAAAGCTACTATCTAAGACTGAACACCGCAATATTCAAAAAATTTTGAATTGCTAGAATTTCTGCTATACCATGTAATAAAACACGAATGTAAATTGTTATCATTTTCTCTCCTTTTATATAGCATTTTAGCCTATGAAGAATAGATCATTGAATGTGATAGCAAAGGACGAGAAGCATGAAATTTTTTAAAGTAATACTATCATTCTCTACTGACATTAGAATCAATGATGATAAATTAAACCCTCATATCATTTCTAAAGGCATATCATGAAGAAAGTGTTAGCGAGAAAATAGAGAATGAACAAGGTAGGAGCAAAGTCGACTCTGAACATTGCAACTGAGGAATAAATTATGCATACCAAACATTTAAAAATTACATGCTTCATGCTTGTTTAATAAACTAGGTTAATTTCTCAATTTTGAATTTGTCAAATTTTAATTTGATCACATCTTTTATAAACTCATAACTTTTGTCAAACTTTTAAGTCATACATGTCATCAAATTTTATTAAAATTCTTTAAATTGTTTTTTAAGAATTTTCTCAAAAAACTCCTATAAACTTTTATTTATTGAAAAATCCATTTATTGGTAGCAATTTTAATTTATTTAAACTACTATATATTATTTCATAATCCCAATATAAAATCATTGGAACTCACTGTTCCTATTTTTGTTCATATATTCATGCTAAGATATTTGAAAATATCTCCTAGGTGAGGACAAACCTACAACTAATTTCACATAATCACTCCTGAGAAGATAACATAACCCTTAATTAATTATGCATAACCTTTTTCACGCACAATGAGAAAGATTTAATTAGCTTTGATTGAGTATAACCCTGAAAGTTATAGCTCTAGCTCTTCTGTGTGTTTTGGAAACCGAAAAAAAAAGGAAAAGGGATCTGTCTCTCCGCTTCTTTGTGTTTTAGGAAACATTTGCATTCAATAACTTTTGGAAAAAATTCAGTCGAATTAATGCTACAAGATTATCTCATTTGCAACCTTTGTAGTCTTATAATTGCATTATAAATACATTGCATGGCATTGCCTTTTCTATTCTCTTGCATTTTCTTGAAAAAAAAAATACTACCACTTTCTCTCTGTTGATTTCTATCAAACAGTTGAAATGGATTCAATGAGAGGACCTGGGGGTATTTAGATGCTACTGAGTGTAGAGCAAGAGGCTCAACAAATTGTCATTGTTGCTAAAAACTTGAAAAATGAAAAGATTGAGGCAAG